ACAGAGATATATGACGCAGGATAATATACAGAGATATATGACGCAGGATAATAGACAGAGATATATGACGCAGGATAATAGACAGAGATATATGACGCAGGATAATAGACAGAGATATATGACGCAGGATAATAGACAGAGATATATGACGCAGGATAATAGACAGAGATATATGACGCAGGATAATAGACAGAGATATGTGACGCAGGATAATATACAGAGATATGTGACGCAGGATAATATACAGAGATATGTGACGCAGGATAATAGACAGAGATATATGACGCAGGATAATATACAGAGATATGTGACGCAGGATAATATACAGAGACGTCAGATATATAATAAGATGAATACAAAGGTTCCATGAGCAATATATATGAAGATGTGCCGGGGACCCCCCACATAATAGGGAGCACACAGGTGAGGGTCCCCACTATAGGACAATAGGATACAATGAATCTATGTGATTCCCGGGCTCTGTGCAGCGGGATTCATGTTCCCCCCTTTATATCAGGATGGAGCCGGATATGTGATATCTGTCCATAGCCCCGCCCCCAGCGGCAGCATGAGATGTGATTGGCGGCTGGGAATTCTTCTGTAATAGACAATCTGTCATTCTGTGGTCATGTGTCCAGTGTCCGTCTCTGGAAGCGGGCGCACCGTGCAGGGTATTGTCTACGGGTCTGCACCACGAGGGAACACCGCCGGGAAGTACCTCCAGGCCAGGCGCATGTTCTATCCATCCGGCTATTTTGGGGAACGTTTTGGCTATTCAGAGCCAGTTATAAGCCGGGAATGGCGGCCAGTGACAACGCACAGATCTGGCCCTCCGGCTGACCTCCTCTTCCAGAGCCGGTGGGATCCCGGGACGTGGGACACTCCGGAAATACGGGTCTCGCACTATGGACACTCAATCTCACCATCCAATCAGAAATGGCTGAGCCTTCCCGGAAAGCAATACTTACCATGGCGGGTGAAGGGCGCCCCCCCTCCCCCCCTCTGCATACACGACCTCCGTCCTCCCAGGACTCCCACATCACAATCTCTGGGGTATTAAAGGTGAAGTCTGGCAAGGCAGCAATCGGAGATGGGACACGGGAGATGGGAGTGACGGTGAACGGGCGATGGGACGGGAGTGACGGTGAACGGGTGATGAGACGGGAGTGACGGTGAACGGGTGATGGGACGGGAGTGACGGTGAACGGGTGATGGGACGGGAGTGACGGTGAACGGGCGATGGGACGGGAGTGACGGTGAACGGG